GCTCTTTACCTATATAGCTGGGGAGAGAAGAATAGGATTCATATCTTTAGCATGTAAGTTAATGTAATGGATCCGACTGGAACTCGAACTCGGCTCTCCGGTTCCTCAATCCGAGCCGCTCTCCATTATTCCACCATGTTTCCAAAATAATACTATAATAGGTAAAAAGTAATTATCTAAATTGTTTATGCTTTCACATGAACTGTAGGTTTTCCATTACGTAAGGGAGATTATGTCGAAGCGATTCGAGTTCCTCTTCACTAGACATCTTATTCCCGGGCGTAATCTTTAAACTTTATATAAAACTGGTTAATACATACGTAAGACGCACCCTCGAACCCGCATTGGCGTAAAGAATATCTACACATATTTCTTTAGAAACCCGTGCTTCAACAAAAGATCTTGTGAAGTCGAGGTCGCGAAAGATGCAGAACCTTTCTATTCTCTTAAGAAAACGATTCTTTTGTCCTTGTGATTATGATTATGATTCACTGTTGAATGCGCAGACCGAGAAAGAAAGGGCGTTAACTGTGCAGTAACAAAGCTGCGCATCGTTAAAAAAAACAAAAAATAACAAAACAAAAACAAAACAAAGATGGCGTATCGGATGCCCAAGATGTGATAACCTTGAATGACTAAAGAAGATTGCAATTTATTTATTTATTTATTGCTATCGAAATGTCAGCTTCCGTTTACGTTGTTTCCGAAAGAGAACAAAAATAAACCTTTTGTCGCATATTTAGATCGGCGTGAAAAAAAAATTCTTAATTATATCTTGCTGCGCGTTTGGAATAAACTTTTTTTCTGTTGACACCGAATTAATAAGCGTTCAGTTAAATTTAGAATCGTACGCATTCAAATGTTAATCCTTACTCATTAAGTCAGTGAATTCAACGCTGTTGACTACTGTCATTATTTGAGTAGACAGGTTTAATTTATTTCATGCAAAGTCAGAGCAACGGGGTCCATTCTGAAGAACAAAATAAAGACAGCTGTAAATATATCTGCGGGACGATATTCCTGGCCATTTATGCTACGGTAGACGCTTAAGAACAATTATTTATTAAATGTAGCTTAAACCGTCACAATTATTGTTTTCAAATATTTCTTTCTCAAATACAATCTCCTTCCAGAAGATAGTCGAAGATAACTCTCCATAGAGCCATTTTCTTTATTATCTGTGAATTCCCGTGGCTTCTCGGAGAAATATAGTGAAGCGGTATCCCATTGGTTTCTAGACAGTTTTGAATGAATTTAGAGCTGTCTTACTCCTTTCAGGGTGTAGGCAGTTGGCACTCTCCACAGATTCCTTTTTCTTTGTTATGTGTTAATTACCACGTCTTCTTGGGAAAGATAGTGAAATGATTTCCCGTTGGCTGCTCGAGAGTTTTCAATTCGGATCTGTTTCTCTCTTCAGAAACTAGGCAATTAGGACTATTTAAAGATTACTTTATTATCAGCGAATTAGCATGACTTCTTGGAAAAGATAGTGAAGTGACATGCCGATGGCTGCTCGTTAGTTTTGAATTCAGAGCTCTCTCTCTCTCTCTCTCTCTATCTCTCTCTCTTTCTCTCTCTCTCTTTCTCTCTCTCTCGAAGACGTAGACAGTTAGAAATTTCCATAGATTCCTTTTACTTTGTTATCGATGAATTGTCATGCCTTCTTGGGAAAGATATTGAAGTAGCTGGCTGCTCAATTATTTTTAATTCGTAGCTGTCTTTCTCCGTCCAGGACGTAGACGATTAGTACTCTCCACAAGTTCCTTTTTCTTTATTATCTGTGAACATCCATGCCTTCTTAGGAAACACGGGAATTCTTTTTGCTTTTTCTACGGTGTTTATTTCATAGCTGTTGTTCGCGCGTCTGGATATAGGCGGCCAAGACACTGCATCGATTCCTATTTTTTATTATCTGTGAATTTTAATAGCTTTTTGTGAAAGACATTCGAGGGGTTTCCGTTGTCTTATCCATGTTTCTAAATTCAGAGTCGTCCTCTTACACTGGCTGACAACCAAGGCTATAGAACCGATTTTATTCTGCTCTCTAATACATATCTTGTTGGCGTAGTGAAATAGATCCACGCCTTGGAAGTGAACGCTGAACACGAGGCTGAAATTTGAACCCTTCCCCATCGATTCCAATTTCTATACTCATCACATGTTTTTCATGATTTACCTAAATTCTTTATATAAAGGAACGTCTATTCCGATTTTGATGAAATATTTCTGTGGGGGGGGGACACATGTGTATGCTTGTGTAAGGAAATAAATTTTGCCTGTCTTCCTCTACATCGGTCTCTTTATCTCTACCTTTGCTCCCCTCTTTCCTCACTCCCCTTTCTCCCCTGCATCCCATTTTCTTTCTTTCTCGCTATATGCACCGTGAGCTCTTCATATGTTCCTTGCATTTCTTGGGGGGTTTGTGAGTATCTTTTTTCCATTTTATACTCTTGTGGAACTGGTTACCCCCCCCCTTATTCTATTTCAATTTTGTGTAATTAAAATTTCTCTTTTAATTGCGTTCCACCTTTCCCTCTACATTTACCTTATTGAGTGTCTTCATTTGTATTCCCAATCGCCAACGAATACCTTTGAAAAAGTGTTGGCCGAAAGGTACCTAAGGTATGACATCTGTGTTGTTTAAAGCTATATATATATATATATATATATATATATATATATATATATATATATATATATATATATATAGATATATATATATAGATATAGAGAGAGAGAGAGAAAGAGAGACTTGAAACGGTACAAAAGCGTATTAAGGCATTAAAAACAAGAAATTTTATATTGTAGGCCATGATAAGTAATCCGCAATCGAAGACCCATACGTGTTACGAATGGTATCGCCTAAAGAAAATTTTTTTGTTTAGTATTATCGCAGGTACATGTTGTTTAATTCTAACGTCCAACCGCTGTATCGTTCTACCTATGTAGTCGCATCCACAACTACATTTGAAATAGTAAATAACAGAGTTAATATGGTGGGGGGGTAGAACATCTTTACACATAGATGAAAGAACGGACTTAGTTTGAAAGACAACACGAACGTTCGCTGCAAAATAACACTCACGTGAACTACATGAAATACGCTTGGCGAAGGATTCACTAATCCTACCCAACCACGGTAAACGAAGATAGACCGGAAATTTTCTTTGGGCGATACCATTCGTAACACGTATGGGTCTTCGATTGCGGATCACTTTATAAAGAATCCAACTTGTGCGATGGATTTCAGTGTGAACTGGTTTTCTGTTTTGGCCAGTTCGCACTCACTTTTCCATCTGTTGTAAACGCTTTACATCAGGTCCAGGCGATCTGCTCTTTGCAAACAAAGAGATTGTTTGCTTGAACTTGCTGTACTGCGCTTCTAGCATCTTGGTTGGTAGAAATTTTTTTTTTCTTTCCCTGTCCACTCATTCATGTCATCCAAGACAGACTTTTTTTCTTTTCTTTTCCTCATAATCTTAGTTCCCCGTTAACAGTTCTGTCGAGAGGGGACGAAACTGGTCGACTGGTGTGTGTTTTGTTTTAAATTTATCATGGCCTACAATATAAAATTTCTTGTTTTTAATGCCTTAATATATATATATATATATATATATATATATAATAAAGATACACTATGCTAAGTTAAAAAGCAGAATTCAGTTATATCATGAAAATAGATCTTTCTGTATCAAACTGTTTGACATTTGCTTTTGGTTAGAGATGATAAGCTGTCATTACTTAGATAATTTACAGTCAGACTAATATAATTATCATTGTTGTGAATGTTGTGCCCTGGAACCTTCAGGTATTTCTCAATCCGGGAAATAATACCCTTGGTATCTCTCCCTATTCTTGTTCTACCAACCATTTTTACAATTTCGTTTTGGTAGGTTCATGTCTTCTCTTCTTGCTTTCAGTATTTCTTATGTGTGTCAAATTCACCAAACCGACATTTTTTTATTAAGTGTCCCAGAAAGTCCAGCTCTATCTTTCTTATCCTAAGCAAAAGTGTCCTTTTTGCTCGCTATTACCTTAAAACTTCCACGTTAATCTCATTTTCCGTCTATGGTATTCATAAATTTCTTCTGTAACACCACATATCTGTCAGCTCAACTCTTGATCCGCGAGAAAATTGTCAAGTATTAATTTTAATTTAGGTAGATTGATATCACAAAACAACTGTGTACTTTTGTGTTTGATTACCAAAGATGTTCCTGTTTCTTAATATTTCATTTAGATTTTGGAAGTCATCTTTCGCTATTCCAGTGGATTTTATGATTTGTCTGCAACACTTTTCTTCCTTATAACAATTCCCAGATATTTAGGTTTGTCCAAAATGGATGCAGTACGTTTTCTCATACATTTAGTATTATAGGAAAATTTATCGATATGACATTCACACGAAATAACGACCTGAGTTCTGTACTGCTTGTTGATGGAGATAATGCTACGCATCAATAATAAATGTATGATTATTTTTTGTCTCGATAAACCTTTAAACGGCTCACTAATCAATATTAAATGCTATGCTACAGTTGATTAGAAAATCACACAGACATATACGCCAGCACACCCACAGGGATAGATAATGGAAAAAAAACTGATATAGACAGACAGATAATTATAGATAGATAGATAGATAGATAGATAGATAGATAGATAGATAGATAGATAGATAGGAATAGATTGGGAAAGACAGAAAGAAAGATACCAAGCTATGAATTGACTGAGATAGATAGATAGATAGATAGATAGATAGATAGATAGATAGATAGATAGATTAGCATAAACAAAAAGACAGATAGCTAGTTATGAATTGATTGAGATAGATAGATAGATAGATAGATAGATAGATAGATAGATAGATAGATAGATAGATAGATTGGCATAAACAAAAAGACAGATAATTAGTTATGAATTGATTGAGATAGATAGATAGATAGATAGATAGATAGATAGATAGATAGATTGACATAGACAGAAAGACAGATAACTAGCTATGAATTGACATAGATAGATAGATAGATAGATAGATAGATAGATAGATAGATAGAAATGAAATACTCTATCGAAACTTCGACGGAAAGGGCTCTGACGAAGTACATTCCTTTTTCCCGCCAGATCAAACCTTCACGCCATGTCGCTTACATTATACCGCACCACCCATATAGAAACCCCGTATTGAACTCAAACAGCTTCATCATGGGAACGACTGCTTTGGGGAACAGACTCCCAAGGGAGTGTATTCGCGACCACTACAATCTTAAGTTGTCCAAGTCCAGAGTGAACCGTGTTCTTCTCTTTCTACAAAACTACGTCTTAACGCAATCTTCTACATTGAGTAGCCCCGGGCTTTATTGTAAAAAATTGAAATAGATAGATAATGAATCGTCTTAGATAGATAGATAGATAGATAGATAGATAGATATGAATATACTTAGATAGATAGATAGATAGATAGATAGATAGATAGATAGATAGATAGATAGACGGGCAGCTAGCTAGCTATGAATTGACTGAGATACATAGACTGGTAGACAGATAGATATATAGACATGAAGTGACTGAGATAGATAGATAGATAGATAGATAGATAGATAGATAGATAGATAGATAGATAGATAGATGAAGAGACTAAGAGCTATCTAGATAGATATGAATAGAGCTAACTAGCAAGCTGGCTAGGTAGATAGATAGATGTGAATAGACTGAGATAGAGATACTGATAGACATATATATAGATATAAAGCAAGCTTGTCTCGCTAGAAAAATTACAACTGAGTCGTGAGTTCGATCCTCACTGGGTGTCCCGTACTTTCGGTCTTGTGTCACATCTAAGCTACGCTTAGAAAATCACTATATAGATATAAAGCAATAGATAATGAATAGACTGAGAAAGTTATATATATATATATATATATATATATATATATATATATATATATATATATATATTCATATACTTATTGGAAAGTGCTCAATATCAGTGATAGAGCTAACATATCGGACAGACTTGTGATGATCGCAGAAGCGTGAAATCCTGGGTCAGAAACCCTATCCATACAAATGAATGTATATATATATATATATATATATATATATATATATGTATATATATATATATATATATACACACACACACACACACATATATATATATATATATATATATATATATATATATATATATATATATATATATATATAAGAATTTTCTTAGCAACTGGAGGAATGTAGAGAACGCGTCACCAATAACTACAGTTTTACTATTGTCATTTATATTTATAAATATTGCCTTTTCTACAGTTTAACTCTGAGAATTTCATATATATATATATATATATATATATATATATATATATATTGAAAAATAGTATAGCAAATTGGAAAAAAGAGAAAAGAGTCTTTGTATTCTGCCAAAAATGGTCTTCATTGGATATTTGCTGGCAGTAGGTAAGGGGTAATCCCACTGAGTCATCATCGAATATATCGTTCTTCTTGATACATAAACTTTTCTAATATTTAATGATCACTTTCAGATGTAATCAAGGTAATAGTTTCCTTCGTCATCGCTGCCATAATGGCGTCGAGCAAGTAAGCATTAATACCGCAGGCACGAAATATTCTCGATTTCCAGTGAAAACATCTGTGTGTATTTTTTAAGAAAATTATAATTGTTGTACATTTTCTCGCCCAGGAAATGTTGCAAACACTGGAAAAGGTCACAATCCGTGGAAGCAACGTCGAAATATTTTTCTGGATGCGTTTTAAAATGTAGTTATAAAGCAGGAATAACGCAGCTGCCCAATTTACCGGTGATGTTCGCCATTTTAAACAAGACTGGTGTAGTCATCAGCAAGAGCAAAAGCCCAGTATGCGAGTTATAAAATCGGAGATATACAGAATCTCAAATATCTGGGAATCCTGAATCCTTCTTTCTATATCCTCGTCTCAAATCCTTGTCTTACATCATTTTCTATTTAGTTTCTATTTACTGAATCCATTATAACACTTATAATCATAATCAGGAAAAGACAGCTGAAATTCTTTAGGGCACATAATGAGGAAGGAGGGCTAGGAAAACTTAACACTCACAGGGCAGCGAGACACTTTCCTGACGAACAAACGGCGGTATGAGATTCGGGGGTTTTAGCATAGGGAAAAACGCTGCTAACAGACACAGAAAGAAGTTGTGGAGAACCATAATCGCATCTATTCTGAAATGAAGCGGTACATATAAGGAGATGTAGTTCTCTGTAGTTTCTCTCAGAATTTACTGTCTCATCACAATTCACACTTCATATGCCTCTTAAGTCAGAGAAATATCCAGATTTTGGTACAAACATCGACTAAGACATTCCCTTTCGTATTATAAATAAACCCTTTCGTTGAATATGGTTGTAAAATATTTGTCTTTTTCAGTAGTGAGAACCCTTTTTTGACAATAATGTTAGCCCTGTACAAGGCCTATGTGCCACTCGAGTTAGGCGGCCTTCATCAGGTGATACATACAGAATTTTTTATTTCGTCCATCAGATTAGATTATTCTAGTTCCACGTTCCATGCCTTCTCTGGATATCTCAGTTTCAGTTATTTCCCCATTAGTAACTGAACTCTCAAAGTCACCTGTGCCCAGGTATTGAACTCATAGTCACTTCCTTGAATTCCTTCAAGCAACGCTTTTATCCACTTGGTCAGGTGAATAAAAGCGTTCAGCAGATGAAAATAAAATACTGTTTAAAAACTAAACGGAGCGTCTACTTAAACATGGGTATCCACTAAAAATAATGTTAATATGATAAGAATATAAAAAATTTTATATATCAGAATGTTATGGAAAATGAAAGACACAGTGGTGGAAAATTGCGCTTTGTTTTCTCGAAGGACTTCACCAGTCTATGAATTGGAGACATCAGAATCGCGTAAGTACAAAAACCTAATTATATAGCAAGTTTTATAAGAGACGAAGGAATATATGGTGAAGAAATCAGAAAGTGCATTGAAATAACAATAAATATCTCCCGAGCATTAAGAATCATACAACTTTGGTGGCAACAAAGAAAACAGTTCTCAACTCCTACGTAATCAATTTTTAGACAGATGAAGAGTAGACTTGAGAAGCAGCAGAGATTTCCTTCTATAGAGGGACGCCGTGGATACCATAGCCTGAACATGTGAACAACGAGGAAGTTTTAAGGAAAATTGCGATCGAAAAGAGAACTTTAAAAATCGGAATTACACTAAGTAAGACAAAGCTTTAACAAAATCTAATCTTTAACTGCTCGGTATTTATCCAAGACCTTTACATGGGGCGTTGCGAGCCCGTAGGCTCGGGCAAAAATTGCCTTTATACGGGGTCGGGTAGTTGTCTACCACCCCAGACGAGACTCTGCCCTTCGACAAATCCACGTCTGGGTTCCTCTCCACCCGGAGGCAGAGAATCGACAAGCAGAGTCAACTATAATTGTTAACTGCTCGGTATTTACCTGATACCTCCCCACAAGCGCGATGTGGCAGAAGGCTGTTTTTCTTTGTCGATCGATCCGAACTCGTAAGCTCGGGCAAAAATTGCCCTAGACCGCGTATACATGGGGTCGTGTAGCGGTCTACCTCTCAAGATGAGACTCTGCCCTTCGGCATATCGTCGTCTGGGTTCCTGTCCGCCCGGAAGCAGAGAGTCGGCAAGCAGGGTAAGCTGTAATCGTTAACTGCTCTTCTTCAGTAAGAACGAGTGCTATTTAAATAGTCTTAGATTAAACCATTCTGTGGGGGTGTTCAGCTACTCCACAACAAGCTGAATATTTCCAGTTTGAGTTATGTCGATATCTGTCAAATAATACGTTTTCTCTTCAGTGTAGTGTCTAATCATCTCTGGAGTATATATATAAACTCTTATATGACACAAGGGATTATAGAGTGTGGAAGAATTAGGAACAGAAACATTAAGGATAAGCAGAAAGAAAAGAGAGTAATCAGGTGGACAGTAGATAGCGATTTGCATGGAACCGGAAGGGAGCTCCACAAGCGTGAAGTGCGAAAGAAACTGTTAGCATAGAATTTACGACTACATCTATCCAGCTCAACTATAAATTGATGAGATCTTAACGCCGGCCTTGTGCTGCGTTTAAATTCAAAAAATAATATCTGTTAAGACTTTGGGAGACTTTTCTCTGCTGTTGATTAAAATGCTTAATGTCAGCTGGAAATTCTGCAATGAACATACGCATAATATTCCAATTACATTTGACTATCGTTGTCCACCTTCAAGGAAGAACAGTAGAAGCTGGTAGCTAGAGCTAAAGGTGTTTATATAGACAACGGTTCAGAAATTGAAATGAATGTGAGATCACTTGGTATACGAGGGCGGGCTGAAAAGTTCATGGGCTGACTAAGAAGGAGAGATATTAGAGCTGTGAAATCTTGCATGAATTAATTTCAACTCTTATTAATAACTCCATTCTTTCTTTCCAAGTTCGAGGGTGGGCTGAAATGCCCATCGCCTGATTATAAAGGAGCCATGCCACTGTTGTGAAATCTTGCATACGTTAATTTCAAATATTCATATTAATACTAGCTAGTTTATTTCCAGATAAACAGATATCTGACTGTTCAAAGAAGACTTCAAAAGTAACAAGTACTGATTTTTCTAGAAAATGGCCAACATTTACAAGCATCAACACACACATATATATATGTATATTATGTGCCGTGTTGCTTGAGAACATAGGCTAGCATGGTCCTTCATATCACCCTGTTTCGTGTAGCTCTGTGTGTTGTTATTTCTCCTAAACCCTTTACTGCCATCCATTTTCTCAAGCCTATTAAATATATCACGCGTTGCTTTCCTCTGTCCTTCGTTACCTCTATCTGTCTTGTGAGTATCAGATTTTATAAACCCTCCTTCCTCATTACGTGTCCCAGAAATGTCAGTTGCCTCTTCCTGATTTTAAGTGTAAATTTCCTTTTTGTTTCTATTCTTTCCAAAACCACGTCGTTGCTTACATGTTCAGTCCCTGGTTTCCTTAGCATACTTCTGTAGAACCACATTTCTGTTGCTTCGGGTCTATTGTTCATCTTTGAGGAATTATTCGCTGCCATAAAGCAGGAAAGATATCCCGAAAAAAGTCAGCCCAATTTTCTTTGGTCCAAACGAAATTTTCCAGTTTCTTAATAATCTGCTTAGCTTTTGGTATATAACTTTAGCCGTCCCCAATACGTCTTCGCATCTCAGTGTCCCATCTTTCCGTCCTCTGTTAGAACACTTATCAAATATTTAAATTTCGGTACCTGTTTTATTTTAGTATCGTCGATCTGTATTTTGCATTTTGTACTCATCTTTATGCTGATGACCTTTCTGTCTTCTTGTAGTTTATGCCTATTCCTTGCTTCTCTGTCATCTGCCTATCTGATTATGGCCACTCATGATGAATCCTTTCTAGTACTCTTAGAATTTCCTATTGAAATATTTATGATGAAAAATGAATTCGAACGAAGGATTCCTGTACGTCTTAGGGAGGGTCATACTTCCGTATGTCATAGGGATGGCCATACTTCCGTAAGTCATATGGAGGGCCATACTTCCGTATGTCATAGGAAGGGCAATACTTCCGTATATCTTAGGAAGGGCCATACTTCCGTATG